AGGGGGAAGAGCAAAGTTAAGCCACCTGTGGAGGCTGAGTATACTGAGAAAGCTTTTGTGCGCGCAGATTATAAAGCCAGTAGCTCTCACTTTGGAAACAAATGGCTTATAGAGTGGTTCTTTTGTTTGTTTTCTTTACTTTTCCTCCTTCTGGTTCCTCAAAAGGACAGGATATTCAGGATATTTATTCTTCCTCGGTTATGCTTTATCTAAGCAGTCCAAATTCTTTATGTGAGGAATCACCATGCCTGCTGGGCTGTTTGGGCATGCTCTGTTCAGTACCTGGAGATGAGGTTATATAAACTAGTCATTTCCAAACTATGTCTTCCAAGGATGCCTAGACTAAATGTTAGAGATTTACTTTACCATGTAAATAAATCCACGCAGCCTCTATCAGCATGTCTACCAAGATGTTGATTCTCCTAGTAATCTTCAGCTTGTGTATTTTACATGACTCGTACAACCAGGATCTACTCCTTCTCCATGTTACTCTCTGCATTGCATCTTGTACTTCTTTCCTTTGGGAATATGGGCAGGAGGTAGAGAGGGGAACACCAGAATAATATGGCGCCAGGCAAATCTGGGACTGAACTGGACTCCTTCACTTACTAGCAAGACCTCTTGGGGCAGGTTATTCAAATGTATTGCCTCAGTTTCCTCATTTGTACCCAAACCCGTTGCCGTCGAGTAGATTCCGACTTATAGGGACCCTGTAGGACAGAGTAGAACTGCCCCATTGGGTTTCCAAGGAGTGACTGGTGACCTTTTGGTTAGCAGCAGTAGCTCTTAACCACTGCACCACCAGGGCTCCCCTCGTTTGTACATTGGGGATTAAATAATAGCTATTCTGATTCTACTGAACCTTAGCGAAACAGAATTCTACTCATATACAAATTCTTCAGAGCCCTGATGGCACAGTAGTTAAGAGCTTGGCTGCTAACCAAAAGGTTGGCAGTTCAAATCCACCAGCCGCTCCTTGGAAACCCTGTGGGGCAGTTCTACTCTGCCCTATAGGGTCGCTATCAGTTGGAATCGACTCCATGGCAACGGTTTTGTTTTTTTGTTTGTTTGTTTTTTAATACAGACTCTTCTAGAGCATAGAAAAAAGATAAAGAACCTCCCAACTCATGCATGAGGCTAGCATAATTTTGCTTTAAAAATCCACAAAGGTGGTAAAAGAAAACTATAGGCCAATCTTATAAGCATACATGGACAATCCCCAAAAAATTATCAAATGAAAACCAATGATGTTTAAAAAAAAAAAAATTGGCTCAATACTAGAAATAATGATGATTTTGAGCCATTACAAAAATATCAAGGTAAATACAGTAGATTGAATACATACAGTTAACTCCTTTCCCTCCTAAAACTCCGCTGAAATGAGAGTAAAGAAGTAAACAAGTTATATACCTAGAAGTACAAAAAGGGGAGAAGACCCAGTGGATAAGGGATGTCAGTAGTTTTTAGAAGGAAACTGATTAAGAAAGGGCACTGACTGAGCAAAACAGAGAAAGTGAGAATTTAAATGCCTGCAGAGGAGAATGTCAAAGAGAAGTAGTGGAGTTGTGCCATAGAATTCCTGAAAGGTTCAGAATTAGAGTCGCCATGTCCTTAGAAGGTGGAGTGATGAATGGACTGAAAACAGCAAGGCTAGTTAAAAGCTATAATTGGAGAAGTTGGAACTCTAAGTTCCCTTCCCAACCTCAGCAGGAGACAAAGGTTTATTCTCTGTAGTAATTAACCAGGCTCTAGACTCCAGTGGAGAACTGGGAAGTGGCCATTTCCTGGGGAAAGGAAGGAAGAAAAAACAAAAAGATGGAGTCCCTGGGTGGTGGTTAAGTCCTGGGCTTCTAACTGAAAGTTTCCAAGTTCAAACCCACATAGAAGCACATCAGAAGAAAGGCCTGGCAATTTGCTTCTGAAAGGTCGTAGCCTTGAAAACGCTATGAAGCAGTTCTACTCTGCACACATTGGGTCACCATGAGTTGGAAGTGACTCCACGGCAACTGGTTTGGTTTGTTGTTGTATTTTTTTAAGCATTAACTGAGTGCTTACTATGTGCCAGACTTTGTTCTAAATCTTCTGTGTTAAATCAGTTGAGCTTCGTAACGACCCACAAATAAGAAAATAAATGTACAAAAATAGCGAAGAGAAATTTAAAAAAAAAAAAAGGGACTTGCCCTACCAGATATTAAAACATTAAAAAGCTATAGTAATTATGACAGTGTGATTTGGGTGCTGGGATAGACATTTTTGATTAATGAAACAGAAGAGTATAGAAATTGACCCTCACATATGGGAATGAACGATTTGATAAAAATGACATTTCAAACCACTAGGGGATAAAGAGAATTCAGTAAACGATATTGGGACACTTGACTATATACTTAAAGCCACCAATCAAACCTGTTGCCATCAAGTCAATTCTGACAACTCATAGTGACCCTATAGGACAGAGTAGAGCTGCCCCACAGGATTTCCAAGGCTATGTGTCGGAATTGACTCTACAGCAAAGGGTTTTTTTTTTTTTGGCTTAATATTTACAGAAGCAGACTGCCACAACTTTCTAGCTGGTAGATCCCAACTGCCGACTGTTTTGGTTAGTAGCTGAGTGCTTTACCTCTGAGCCACCAGGGCTCCTTCTGACTATTTACTTGGAAGATATAAATTCCAGATGGATTAAAGACAAACTTAATATTTATAAACTTAGTATAACTAAGACCTTCTTAAATAAGACATACCCCACAACACACTAATTGTGTGACTTTGAGCACATTATTTAGATTTCTTGGCATTTTGTGTTTTTTGTTTTTAATCTGTAAAATGGGATGATAGTAGTAGAATTATTATGAAATTTACTCTGATCTGGCAGAGTATAAATCTCATTTGTTAACATGTAAGTTTATGGTTTAGTAGCTGTATCCAATTCTGCATGCTCCAGTCCTCTGGGGGTACTGAAATTTTTATTTTTCCTGCTGCTATTAACAACATAGTTGAGTTGAATGTGCAGAAGTTCTTCCTGTATTAACTCTTATATCTCAGCATCTCTAGAATGACAGGAAAATGTTCTCCTTTGGCATTTTTGACAAGTTCTTAACCCACTAATGTGACTGCTTTTGAATATATGATTGTATATGCCAGGGCAGAAACAGCAAAAGATCAGAGAATTCTGGATGTTCTTTAATTTTCTCTTTTCCAATTCAGTTCCCGTAATAAGAAAATTATTAGTTGTATCTCATTCCGTGGGCAACTTTCAAGATGAACTATTGTGTTAAGCCATGTAAGCTTCTCTCTTTGCCTTTGTGTATTGTCTCCCTCCTCTGCAGCAAAGAACGAATGCTTTATAAAGTGGAAGTAAAAACATTTTAGTGTCTCCTCCCCCCCCAACCTTTGGAGCAGGAAGGTAGAAAGACAATAGCTGCTTCACTGATTTAAAAAAAAAAAAAATGGTTGTATTGATTAGCTGTTTTTTCCCTTCCCACGTGACTAGTTCCATAACAAAGTAACTATATGTCTTGATAGAGACTCTCAATTGCAAGTGACAGAATCCGATTCAAACAGTCCAAGAAAATTCCTAAGATAATGCATTGGCTTAAGTGACTGGAGGAGTCCCTGGGTGGTGTAAATGGTTAATGCGCTAGGCTGTTAACCAAAACGTTGGAGGTTCAAGTCTACCCAGAGGCACCTCAGAAGAAAGACCTGGCAAGTTACTTCCAAAAAATCAGCCATTGAAAACCCTGTGGAGCACAGTTCTACTCTGACACACACGGGGTCTCCATGAGTTGAAGTTGACTCTATAGCAACTAGTAACTGATAAGTAACTGGGAAGCCTAAGACTGGACATAGCTGCAGCTGGCTTACATTGGTAAGGTCTGGCTCCACCTGAACTATATGGATTGAGCTCCCCACCTTGTCAGAATAAGGGAGGAAGGTGCTGAACAGGCAGAAGCAAAAGCTGTCCACGGCAGTAACTGAAGACATTTCCTGGTTCAGCATGTCCTACATATGGTGCCTATATCGTCATCTTCTCTCTTAGGTTGGTGGTTGAAATCAAAGAATTGCAACTTCTTGCTCAATCATGAAGTAGATTGCCTGTAGCCTGTTTGCTGTAGGAATTGTCTTCAGTTACTCTAATGTGGGTCTGTAATGAGGCTAGAAAACACGTTGCCTGCTCTCTGTTCCCTGTTTTGCCTCCATGTTATCTTATTGTGATGCTCAAAGTATAACCATCTGAGTTTTTTGTTTGTTTTTTTTGTGAGGTTTAATTAGGACAGGATAATCTACCATATATAAACATTGTGAAAGTGAATGATCATAACCTCTAAAGGGATTTGAGTAAAAATTCTTGTAAACATGGCTCTGGGCCTCATATTCCTAGAACTGCAGAAAGCTCCTGAGGCCTCTCTACTCATGTCACAGGGGCTGAGTACAACAGAAGCTCCTCATCGCAGGCCTGTTACATTTGCTGTCTACATCAGACAAGGGACTGACCTGCCGATGAATGGGAGTAGAGGGGGCCTCCGGTCTCTCTGGGAACTAGGATCTCCTGAATCTGATTGCTCCCCACCGTAGAGGTATTACTGGGGCTTGTTGGCAGAGCTGGCAAATGCTTGGCCCACTCCTGGGGACTCCATAACCCCCAAGTCCCCAGTGAGATCCAGGAGTGTGACTGAGCATCTTCTCCAATTCCATCTGCTTCAGGATAGGCTCAGGCACCTTCCCTTAGCTTTTGCTCCAAAATTAGATTTGTCTGTCCTCTCTTCCCCTTTTTCCCGCTTCCACACACAGTCTCCCCCAACCCCAAGCCATTATAAGGCTTCCCTCTCAAGCACAGTAGCAGGAGAGTGGATCTTGGTAACCATAGGCAACTGGGGATCTGTACTGGCTATTTGTTTTATATTTGTAAGGCGCGATCTAGCCACTAACTGGGTAGACAGGAAAATGCTTTAAAGGTTTTCTTATGCAGTAAAATATTATCTTCTTCTTCTTCTTTTTTTTAGAATGACTAATCCATGGGCGAGATGCAGATAATTGGACGCGATGATCTCTCCACACTTGCTGGAAAGGTTCGTTAATGTGACTTTGATCACTGGGTACATATTAATGTCATGGGTAAATCGGTGACCTCCATTTCAGGTCAGCTTTTGCAAGACATTGCAGACACTCTCCCAGGTTTGCTAATTCATGCAAATGGATGTGTGAATCCTTTTAATGATTTCTCCTTTACAAAACACTCCTTTTTAGATTGCTTCTATGACAAGACACAGCCAAATCTTTCTTCTCCAGGCTTCCTTCCAACCTTCTTTCAGACAACCTTGGATTACAAAACCTCTTGGCACGCCTTCTCTTTTTGGCCCTTTTCTACTCAGCCTCTCAGGTACCCCCTGAAAAGGAAGCCTTTATCTTTGTCCTTTTTTCATCTCTCATCTATGCCTCACTCAGCACCTGGGCACTTTAGTAAAAAAATTTGAATAGGTTTGCTGAAATGTACAAAATTTGGGGGGATATATATGTATGGAGCCCTGGCAGCATAGTGGTTAAGAGCTTGGCTGCTAACCAAAAGGTCAGCAGTTCAAACCCAACAGCACCAGCCGCTCCTTGGAAACCCTATAAGGCAGTTCTACTCTGTCCTACAGGGTCGCTATGAGTTGGAATCAACTCAATGGCACATAACAACAACATATATGTATATATGTGTGTGTGTATATATATATATGAAAGACTTCTTGAGAGCACATTTTTCAGCCTTTTGTTTTGTTTCGGGTTTATTAAAAAGAAGGTAGCTGATTAGATTATGGGAAAAATACCTCCAATTGTAAGTTGGATTTCCAAACCTGCAGATAAATAATTAAGTGAAAAGACTGCTGTCTGACATAAATATACAAACTGGAAGAAAGAGTTGTTTCCTAAAGCACATGGTCCTTGTGGAATGTGACCTGAAATGCAAGCTTTGCTGTGAATGAAAGCAATGCAGAATTTGTTTTTGTTCAGCTGTACCAAGACATATCTTGTATTCGTTATCGCTAACAGCTTCAGCTTTCTAAGTAAAATGAATCTATTACACAAGCTTAATCTCTCTTTTTTGTGGTTGTTATTGTTATGCAATGCCTGGATGGGGAAAAGGAGTAGCAGCCACATTTAATAAAAATATGTATATTAACATTGGTGACACTACAGAACCACAAAGACTTGGACTACAAAACAGCTTAGTTCCCTCTACTCAGAAGACAGCATAGTAGGATTCAGTGTTAAATTGCTATCTAGTAGTAAATTTTGAACCACATTTCAAACCACAGAAATTAGAATTGACTTGCTGGTGTTAGTGCATTGCTAGCCCACCATTTCATGTTACTACATCATTGTATAAAATAACACCCTAGAAAGCTAAAATTCTCAAAGCAGTTTCCAGAAATTCATAACTTTTAACAACCCTGGAGTGGTCTTTAAATGATAGATTATTCTAGTACTTTTTTGTATGATACTGTTGCTATGAGTCAGTATTGACTCGACCACAACGAGTTTGGGTTGTATTTTTTTGGGGGGGGGGGTGCCTTACAAATTTATTATGCAACAGATATATTTTATGTGGTGTTTTGCTGTGAGGTCTGTCGAAGTGGTAACTCTTAAGTGTTCCAAATGAATGTCAAGAAAAATTTTGCACGTAGAATTGTGGTCCTTCTTTCTTCCCTACTGGAATCATCCTCTTGTTCCTTATAAAAGATTTCCCCCTAGGTGAGCATGGGATAGTCCCTTTTTTTTAATAGAGAAGAGGTTGAAGAAAGGATAGCTTCTTACTGGGGTAGAGTGACCAGAAGGGGTAGAGGTCGTGCCTCAGTATTTTCCTCCTATAATTAGGAATCCCTGGGTGGTGCAAATGGTTAATGTGCTTGACTACTAAATGAAAGGTTGGAGGTTTGAGTCCACCCAGAGGCAGCTTGGAAGAAAGGCCTAACAATCTACTTCTGAAAAATCAGCCACTGAAAACCCTATGACACACATGGGGTCACCATGAATTGGAGTCAACTTGACGGCAACTGGTATGGTGGTTTATAATTACTACAAAGACCTCCATGAGAAAGCAAGCAACCAGGAAGTTCAGAAGAGACAAAAAAACCCAGCTAGCAGTAAGTACAAGCAGAAGTCCGCCTTAACTTTTTGCTAGCATAACAAATTATTCTTCAAGGTTTCCAGGTGCTAATTAGTGGTATTTTACACTCTGCGTGTAGATAAATGTATTTTTATATACATTTAAACGTATGCCAAGTAGAATCCCTTGGGCTTAGAAGACATTGGGTAAATATTTCTAAGATGAATATACAGTAATTAGCAGGAAAAGGTTGACATACTAAACTCTATTGTTATAGTGCAAAAGCAACCACAGATGATATGGATATGAATAAGTGTGACTGTGTTCCAATGAAACTTTCTTACAAAAAATGATCTACTGAATTGAAGGCTTCATGTTAAAAAGACCCCCCCCCCAGATAATTCCTATGCACATTAAAGTTGGAGAAGCACTAGTCTAGGGCAAGACCACAACCATCCTTTCCCTGGTTTCTGCCTTCACTTCACTTTCGCTACCCTCCAAACCATTCTCCATGAAGCAGCCAAAGGGATCTTCATTTTCCTAAAAGAGAAATGGGATCATGTACTTGCCTACTGAAAACTTTTCAGTGGCTTCTCAACTAGAGTTGCCAGATTTAGCAAAAACAACACAAAACAAACCAAAAAATTCAGGATGCTTAGTTAAATTTGAATTTCAAATAAGCAATGGATAAATTTTTAATGTAAATGTGTCCCATGCCATATTTAGTAGAAGTATAGCCCATATAATATTTGGTATAAGTATGTCCCACCTACTATTTGGGACATATTTGTACGAAAAAGTTATTCATTGTTTATCTGAAATTCAAATTTAACTGTGTGTTCTGTACTTTACCTGACAACCCTACGCATAATGCTCTGAGACTACAGTCCAAACTCCTTCCACAACATGTAAGGCCAACAAGATTAAGCTTCTCGTCCCAACCCACATCGTACCCACTCACGCCCACCACACTGCCTAATCCCCTTCCTGCCAAGATTTTCTACCAGATGTTGTCACTACCTGGAATTCATTTTCCCCTATCCTTTAGGTCTCAGCACGTCTCCTCCGTAAGGGAGGCCTTCCCTGATTCCCTGTCTAAAATGAGCACATACTCGTCCCCTCTACGCTATATCCCATCCCTGGTAAATCTCTGTGTCAGTACCCTGTTCCCTTTAGAACCCTGATCACAATTTGTAGTGTTTACTTTTTGCCTTATTTTTTATTACGTGTCTCCCCCACCAGAATGTAAGCATGATGAGAGCACGGACCGTGCCTATCTTATTCACTATTGTATCTCCAACACCATGCACAATGCATGGAACACAACAGGTCTGAATAAGTATTTGTTGATGAGTGAGTATATGCTTCTCCTTCTCGGAAATCTGAAAGAAGTTTTCAATTGAGTTTGGGAAAAGGAAGACATGACAGAGAAAAAGTGAAAAATGTAAACCTACCTGGTCACCCCAAAAGGATATCAACCCACCGATTCAGTTTAGAATTGGGTGAGAAAGTTGTTGAGCGAAGGAGCATACTCTTTGTAGAGGCAGAAGGGCTTTGATGTCACGAGAGATTCAAGACGGAGCTGAAGGAGGTGAGTTCAACACAGCTGAAGATGAGACGAGGGACAAAATACTAGCAAGCATTTAGAATTTCCTTTTTCTTCAACAGATAAATGTATTCAATTGACTGGCTGACCCTGTTCACCCATTCTTCAGCCTTTCAGAGAAAAGCCCCAAAGGCTATCCATTCTCACTTCACATTAACAGTTGGAGAGGACTTGAAAAATAAAATTTCACATGCTCTCCAGAATATTCCCATCATGCACAGTATACACCCGTTGGGAAAAAAAATTAAAAGAAAAAGGTGCCCAACAATTAGCGACTTTTTTTTTTTTATGATTGTAGGAGAAAGTCTGAAACTGCAATAAATATTTATATTGGATGGAAGGGTTGTTCCAGGTCACCATTTAACTTCTGCTTTCTCATACAGTCATACCATTTGTCAGTCAATGAACAAATTCACATTTAAGTTACATGAATTTATCAAAGCCAGGCACTCTGCGAGGCACTTTTTGACACCTTCTTTTATTTAATGCTCAACACCCACAGACGAGCCTTGAGAGTCTTTCCACACAAGACTCTTTCCTTGGGCTGAAGAAAGTCCAAAGAAAGGGATTCCTTGGGATTGTTTTAGAGTAGGAAGATGCAATTTTTTGGGGGACGAGAAGTTCTGAGAATAACACAGAAGAGGAAAGAAGAGTGACATGGAATGGCGGAATGATAGGAGCAGAGGCATAGAACTAGAAGAGCCAGAGGACAAGGAGTGGATCAGGCTGACAGAGGGAAAGTAGTCAAAAATAGGGAGATAATAAGAAAAAAAACCTGAAAATGTCAATTGGATTCGGTGTGTGGACTACAAAAAATGAACATCACAATAAAGAATTTGAACTTATTCAAAAAAGCAAAGAGGACCCACAGGAGTCTTTGAGCAGAGGTGATACGAAAACATTTGTGTTTTAGGAAAATGAAACTGCCAGTGGGTAGAATTAACTGAAAGAAGGGAGAGACTACAGATAGGGAGACCTGTTAGGAGACAGTAGTGGTGGAGTGAGCATGAGCACTTGAACTAATATGAGCTACCACTATCTATTGCTGTTGAGTCAATGCTGACTCATGGCGACCCCATGTGTGTCAGAGTAGAACTGTGCTACATAGGGTTTTCAGTGGCTAGTTTTTTGGAAGTAGATCACCAGGCTTTTCTTCCAAGGTGCCTCTGGGTGGACTCAAACCTCCAACCTTTCAATTAGAAATCAAGCGTGTTAACCGTTTGTACTACCCAAAGATTCCACTCTACGATCTAAGTAGGGGTGAAAGAGAAGGAATAACAGTATCAAAAGAAGCAGCCAAGAGAGTTAAATGATTATATAAGGAGGGAGGGTTAGAAAAGATTTTTTAAATCAAACTTGTTGATTTAAAAACTTTTTAAAATGTGAGTAAATGGCTCACCTATATAATTTTGCCATGCTGGGAGAGGCACTATGAGCCTCATAGCTGTGCTAAGGAACTTCTTAAGCCCTCTGAAGACATGGGAGTTGAAATATTTAGAAAGAAGATTCTGGATAGCCCCCATATGCCTGTCTCTTTTTTTTTTTTTTTTTTCTTAAAGGACAGGGAAGGAAGCTCACAAGGGGGCTGGCTGAGTCATGGTTCTAAATAAGTCACTGCTGTTGAATAAAGTTAAATGGCCTCTTCGGTTCACAATGTTGAAAGCATTTTACTTGGTGTATTTAAGCTGTCTGTACAATATGCTCTCTGCTCTCTGACTGATTTTTTGAAAGTTGCTTTAATCCTGGGACTTTATAAAATGCACATCTATTGAATCAAGAAGATTGTTTTCATGCTCAAGAGAAACCTCTGAAAGGGTGGAATAAAACCAAGAGCATGGAAGAAGCCCAATTCTGGTAACGTGAAAACACAGAAGTGCAGGTTAAGTACAAGATTTCAAGAGAATCCTCCCACCTCCCCTGCAAAAATAAGTTTCTAATCAAATGCCAGAACGAAGCATTGAAACCTGCCAGAATGTCCCCCTAGACTGCCTTAAATTAAAACTTCCTGTTGCATCTGAGGCTGAGAACTTGCACAACAGTAGAAACGCCCGACTGATGGTTCTGGCAATTTTGTGAGTTATCCCAGAAAATGAAATACTGAACGACATTCCTTTTGCCACAGGGTTTATATTCACACTCCTACTCATCCCCAGAATCCATGATACAGCTCATCACCACCACTGCCATCCCTGCTATTACGGTAACTACAGCTGCAAATCTACACCGCTTCAGATGACACAATGGGGGGTTGCTAATCATTGTGTGTTTTAAAATACTAAAAGAAAGAATAACCTATTTAAGAAAATCATTCAGATTTGTATAATTCTTTCTTCTTTCTCTTCCTCCCTCCCTCTCTTTTCTTCTCTTTCTCTCTTTTCCTTTCTTTCCTAACTTGATGTGATTAACTTAGATCAGGATCTCAAAATAGCAAAAAAAGAACACACTTTAGAGGTTCCCCAGAGGATGTTTGCCTGCAGCCCCCAGGCTGGAGATTTTACTAGTTTTTCTGGGAGGAAATGAGCTAGGCGTGATGAGATGACTAAGACAGTACTGGCAAACATCTCACAGTTAGTGATCAGAGTATTATCAGATTGGAAGTCTTTAGGAGGTACATTGTGTTCTGAAAAAATGTCCAATGTTTGCCCACTCAAAAAATGAGAATTTTTAAGATTTCTTGGTGCAAAAAAAAAGCAGTAGATATTAATGATTGCTCTGTTAAGGAGGAATTGCACATTGTTAAAAATGGAGAGGATGCAGCAAAAGTATAATGAACTAGAGAAAGTGAAAGAAATGAGGTCAAAGTTGTGGAGTCATTCAACAAGCATTTCTTGAGCATTTGCTGCATGCCAGAAACCATGCTGTGTGCTGAACACATAAAGATGAGTTAATTTTGGTTCTAATCTTGGTGCATTAAACTGTAAAGAGACTAGTTTCCTTAGACATTAGTGAAAGTGCTTCCAAAGTTGAGGCAGTTTTCAGTGGAGCTTCCAGACTAAGACAGACTAGGAAGAAAGCCCTGGTGATCTACTTCTAAATCTACTAAAATCAACCAGTGAAAACCCTGTGGATCACAAATGTCTGATCTGCAGTTGATCTTGGGATTGGAGCAGAACTGGGCAGTGTTTTGTTCTGCAGTGCACAGGGTCACCATGAGTTGGGAGCTGACTCGATGACAGCTAACAACTCTTGGGCTACTTCTTGTTTTATATGGCAGAGTCTAGCTTCCAAAGGCTTTGCTTTTATTGGAATATTTCACACAACAGGCAGGGCCACTGAAAATCCAGACTAGGGTGTATATTGCTAATAAACGAATTTGGAAACATAGTGCGATGTTTTGTAAAGGGAAATAAATTTGTAGGTGATGGCTGCCGTATATAACTCACTAAAGAAGTCTTGGTTTCTGTAGGGTTCCCTTTCAATAACAGATAGTTTTTCTATACTAGTATTCCCCTGTCCATAATTGAAGGTTTGTGTCCACCCAAAGACACCTCAGAAGAAAGGTCTGGCAATCTGCTTCTGAAAAATCAGCACTTGAAAACCTTATGGAGCACAGTTCTACTCTGACACACATGGGATCACCATGAATTGGAGTTGATTCAGTGGCAACTGGTAAAGAATCTATGAGCTTTCTATAATAAAAATGAATATGCATTTATAATTGAGAAAACCTTTTTAATAACAAGCAAACCAAAAAAAATCAATACTTTAAATATGGTTTCAAAAGCAGAAATAGCTATATTATTAAATATATTGTTTAGAAATATGGAAGTAACTACCAGAAAACCAGCTAGAAGTGACTGTCTCTGGGGAGGAGAATTGGAGGTATGGAGCAGTAAGGCAGGAGGTGGTTGATTTTCTTTAAGAGCCCTTTGGGTCTATTTGATTTTAAGCATGTGTGTGTATTACCTTGATTTTAAGATGTTTTCAAGTAATTTTGATAATATATCCAAGGATTGGCACACACCTGAGTCCCATTTCCCACTCACCGTTGTATTTTACAAATGTAGGCTAATCTTTTCAAAGATGATTCTTTTGTTTGCAAGGTTCTGCACTGTCAAAAAAAAAAAAAAAGCTGATTTAATTATGTTCCATGCCCTCTGCTTAATTAGGCAAGAATACAGATGAACACATCTTAGAAATGTTCTTCTTTATAAAGTTGAAACAAAAAGGGATCATGAACCAGGAAATTAAATTAACTGAAACATTCTCTAAGTCTTCCGGTTGGTTGATAGGCATGGTTGGCAAGCCTCTATCAGACTAAAAATGCATGCCCTAACTATTACGGATTGATCATAAAGATCATAACAAATTATGCTCAGCATGCCAAAGGGACTCCTCTGTCAATGTGATTGATTCTTAGAGTAGCAGATAGTGTGAGTATGACCTGCTTTCAAAATGGACAAAACAATCTTACATTTTAATGATAAAATTAAGCTTTTTAATGGATTTTAGTGGACTAAAAATACTATACCTGAGAGAAAAACACTTCCAGAAAGATATTTCCATCTAAGGGTGCATTTGACACATAAAATACTATGATGCAAAGTCAACAGTGGTTAGTTTGGATGGTTAGTTGATTGACATTTTTGATAATTAAGTGTCTTTTGCGTTAGACATGAGAAAGATATCTAATGTTTAAGATTTGATGTGATTTTTTAAAGTATTATATGAATTACAGGGATAAATGAAAGGTCATCTAAAGAAAGAAAGATACCATCACACTGAGGGAATTTTCTCAACACGCAGTTAATTGGAATGGCATATTAACACAGTCATATTTTAATTTGATGGGCAACATTGACATGTAGCTAGTAATCCAATTAATTGGCTGATTTTAACTCATTAATAAGCTTAATCAGTTATTCATTCATTCAAATAATTATTGAGCATCTGTATGCAGGCTATTATGCTAGAGTCTGGATGGTACAAATGATTAATGCACTTGACTGCTAACTGAAAGGATAGAGATTCAAGTCAATCCAGAGGCACTTTGGAAGAAAGGCCTGACAATCTACTTCTAAAAAATCAGCCATTGAAAACCCTACTGATCACAATTCTACTCTGACACACATGGGGTCACCATGAGTTGGAATTGACTTGATGGCAATTGGTTAATGCTAAGCTCTGAGTATACAGTAGTAGGCAAGGCAAATATTATTCCCACCCTCATGTAGCTTATAGTCTAGTGGGGAAGGCAGATATCAGATAAGCAATTAAAATGAGTATGATCAGTGTTCTCAGGGGGAAGAATAGAGCAATGCCTTGAGAGCACGTCACAAGAGGGCTACATCATCACACTAAAAATATAAACCAGGCACCTCAGAGTTCTTTCTCTAGCCTACCCCTTTCTCAGAGCTAAAAATCAGAAGGCAAGTACTGAGTCCCCAGTGATTTTGGTGTCTATGCAGGAATAGTGCTCTCAGACATGAATAGTGCTCTCAGGAATAGTGCTCTCAGGCGTGTCTCCATTAGTAATGCAGCTTCTTTTGGCTGGTTTTCCTGGTAAACTCTTTGTAAACTTTGCATCCCAAATTGCATAATTAAGAATTATGCTGCTCAATAGCAGCACGCCCCATAATTATTGAGATGGGAAGACTTTATGGATAGCTCTTCAGACAGTAACAGGGTCTAAGATAAGCCTGTTCCCAGCCTGAGTATGTTGTTGTTGTGTGCCGTCAAGTGAACTCTGGCTCATAGAGACAGAGTAGAACTGCCTCATAGGGTTTCCTAGGGTGAAATCTTTATGGGAGCAGATCACCAGGTCTTTTTTCCCACAGAGCTGCTGGTGAGTTCCGAACCACCAACCTTTCGTTTAGCAGCCAAAACTTAACCGTTGCACTACCAGGGCCCTAACCTGAGTATAGGTACCAATATTGCGGTACCAATTAATTCAGAGGGGCTGTTAAAATGAATCTAAAATACCTAGATTACTAGTAAGCATTTAGATTAGATGGGTGGGGAAGGACCAGCTAAGCAAATTGTGACGTTCTAACTGTAAACAAAATGTGAGTCTATGTTATGAGACAGATTTTTATCATATTCTAAATAACTGGGTTTTATTTTTTTTTAGAATGTCCTCGTTGTTGAGGTAAGCTGGCTTTTCCTTATCCATATTTGGAAGTTGAAAGAATCTAGTGGTGAGTTTTAAAATATAGAACTTGTTATCAAATTGGTCAAGGACTTACTAAATTCCCACTGTGTGCATGACACTCCAGATTTATTGACTAGGAACCTACTAGAATCACTGGCCTCAAATAACGTACGATAAAAGCACTGCAATAATAGCTGTAAAGGACTCTATCCTTTTTCATATCCAGTTTTACATATGTCTAAAATTGGTTTCTATACCTCTTTATGAGTCAGACATTTTTACAGAAGAGGAAACTAGCCCACAGAACCATGACTTATCGAATAGTAGAATCAAAATGGGAACTTTGTACCCTTAATTAAGTGCTCTTGCTAATGACTTTCAGGATGTCTGCCTTCAGCATCAAAATAATAAATACAATCAGTTAAAAACTGGCAATCCAAGGGAATGCTATGATTTAATTTAATTCTTTTTTCTGTCTAAAATATATTTAAAAAAGGAAAGAAAAGAGAAGGCGCGGTGCCCTGTGGCAGCACAGGACTGATAACAGCAAATGGCCATGTTTCATTCAGGAGTATGCCTGTCTTATCAGCTGGCTAAAATTCAGGGGAGCTGTTTTCGGCTTTTGTTACACAATTGCCTGTGTGTGCCATATGTACCTGCAGCTCTTCTGGGTCAGTGTAACTTGTGAAGTAGACCCTCTAGCCAAATGAATTGCCCAACCCTGGCTAAATTCAGATCTGTTGTTTGGATAATCAGCTCCGGACAGCGGATATCAGTGGCCCCTTCTGCTCTTTGTGCAGCAGCTCATCAGCGGGGATGGGCCTGGGCTCTCTGCAGTCTCATACCCTCAGAACTCACGTGCTGTCACCAGCTGCCGTCCAGACACATCTCACTTCTCAGCCGCTTACTCCCCCATTGAATGGGGAGGCCACAGGGGGAGGTGTTTATCCATTCAGTGTATTCAGATATACATCCTGCGTCCATGAAAATTCATGCCTCTTGTATTGTGTTGCATAACCTTAGGGCCAAATTCAGTCCTTGAACGTGCATGCACAAGTCCGAATGTAATCAATGAGGAGCCCCACATGCTCTCCAAAGGCAGAATTTAGCCCTTCATTTAGCTGAAGGATTCAGGGAGGAAGTATTCACCAATATATTCCCCAAGACCCAGCTTCCAGAAAGAAACACCTGCCTCAAAAAGTATAAGAAATTCTGCCTCCTATTTGGCTCCAATTTGATGACATTTCTAATTATGATGCATTATTAATAAGAAATGTAATCATGTCTCTCCGGATGAAAAATCCATTAATGCTGGCCAAATGTGTTTCGTTGAATTTGTCTGTATTCTATGCAAAGGATGTTGTTGGGACTGGGAGGACCATAAAAGCTCTGCTCAGCAGCATTGAGAAATACAAGCCCAACATGGTTAAGGTAGCCAGATGAGTGGGACATTCACATCATCATTATTTCTGTTTTCAGAACAATCCCAAGAGGATGCCAACATAGGATGCAGTTTCAAAGAGTATTGTTGTTGTTGGCTGCTGTCGAGTCGACCCCTCCCCAAACTCATGGGGACCTCATGCACAAGCAAATGAAATGCTGCCCGGTCCTGCACCGTCCCCATGATCAGTTGCAGATTGGACCATTGTGATCCACAGGGTTTTCATTGGCTGGTTTTTCAGATTGCCAGGCCTTTCTTGCTAGCCCATCTTAGTCTAGAAACTCCACTGAAACCTGTTCAGCATCATAGTAACATGCAAGCCTCCACTGACAGATGAGTGTGGCTGCACATGAGGTGCATGTGGAATCGAATAGTAAAATCAAAACGGGAAGGAGAGAATTCTACCACTGAACCACCACTGCCCTCCCAAAGAGTATAGTTTATTCCGAACCAGTGACCGTTTGCCCAGGGCTGTTAGATATGACCACAATGAAGAAATAGTTCATTAAACTGCTAGTCTGGGAGAGAGGAAAGGGGAGAGGAAACACTTTTCTGTGTTCTATGAGCTCCTCTTTACTCTGCCACCATTAGCTATTTCCAGGAGCAGCTTGGTGAGCCCCAGCGCAAACACCTGCTTCCTCCTTTTCATCCACAATCATTCTTACAGTGTCTTAGTAGCAGGAGCACGAATTAAATAAGTTCAAAGGGGAAAATGCATATTTTAATGATGTTTAATTATACTTTCAGTTCACAGAGATTTTATTTGGAGCACTAAAGTGTATTATTTCTTTTTAATGGTAGTTTGTCGGTGAAGAGAAATCCTAGAAGTGATGACTTTAAACCTGACTGTAAGTGTTTTTTGGTTTTTGGTGGTGTTATTTTGTTTTGAGTTTAAGAATCTTTGGGTTTCTATTGGACGGCATTCTGTGTGAAGTAGAAGCTACGTAGGGCTGACAGTCCCACAAATACCTCGTGGTGTCCCCTGCCTGGCTAGGAAGGAGAGAACCCTTTAAAACAGGGGTCTAGCATTTTCTAATTTGCATCTTTCTCAGGAACTCTGTCCTGGGCATTGCATATTTTTATTTTTAAGTTTTCCATAGCATCTTAACTCCAAAAAACTCAGCTAATAAATCCCCAAGGGGGTAGAGGAGGACTTGGCCTTGCTGGACTCACGCAGGCCACTTGCCTGCTCTGCCGCTATTCTCACCAGTCAGACAGAGAGAGGCGTGGAAAGGTTTGGAGGGGTTCTCGTTCCATCCCCAGGAACTATTACCAGCCTATGCACAATGGTGACCTTCAGCAAGCCTGAATGTTAGCACCCAGAAGGGGAAATCCCTGACGCCTCCCCACCAGCTCCCAACAAAAGTTTAATCACGCGGAGAGTTAAGCAGAGCAAATATCTCTTCACACTATCTTCACACTTTATACCTCACACTTGACTTCAAGCATGTGTTTTGGAGAACTTTCCTCATCTAGGCCCTTTCCTACCTCCTCCCCATAACATGAATAGTTCTAAAGCCAGAAAAGATAAACAAGCAGCCTGGTTATTTATTATTCTAACAGTAGAAGTGATTTTTTTTTCACTTGCTCAAGCAGACTTCAGCTTGATTTTTATAATTTACATTTGCTCTAAAGCCGCTGGGATAATTTGGCTACGATTCTCATCAGCAAGCTGAACAAACACTGGAGCAAGAGAAGCACCGTATGGATGGGTGATGTGCCAGTGGACATTTAGCCAGTGACTCGTTTCTAAAAACAAGTTTCAGCCCTATGCTAGTTCCGGGCAGGGAGACCCAATAGCATGTTCTTTTTGTTTACTGGCTTGGGAATATAATCTGGATGTAGTTAAGGTTGGACAAGATTATTTAACAGAAATTTGTTAACGAAATAATGTAAGATACTTGCTGTATAGATAAGATTTTAACTGAAGCTGAAAAACATTCATTTCAAACGTATCTGATTAATTACAAATGTCTTGGGTCACTTTTAATAACATCATTAATAAAATAATAGCAGCTAGCGCTAGTAAAAGGCTATGATGTATCTGGCACTGTTCTAAGAGCTCAACAGAGATTATCCTCATTTAATCCTCACAAGAGCCCTCTAAGGTAGGTACTACTATTACACTCATTTTACAGATGAGGAGATTAAACATAGCCAGGTTAAATTGCTTGCCCTGGTAAGTGTAGGGCAAGTATCGAACCAAGGCAATCTGGCTCCAGTCACTGCTCTTACTCTTATACTACACCTGTAAGGAACATCTGCAATTGCAAGTATAAAAGGAGGAACAGTACCAGCTAGAGATAAGTCACTCTGGTTCCCTACTGTTCTCCTGTCCTGCTGACCATTGTCCTTCTTTTATTCCATGCCATCTGTAAATGTTTGGCCTTCTGAACTGGTTTTGGGCTCTAATTTTCCCAGACTGAGTTGCCACGCTTGTTGTAGGGATTGCATTGCTCACGGTAAAGTCATTATTACTGTTACAACTAGGGTTTCCTGCCATTTGCTAATATTCTTTTCGCTAGCTCAGACTCTTTATTTATTTATTTCTCTCTCTCTCTCTGGATTTCTGAGGCTTTGTACTTTTGTTCCTTTCTCATAATGGACTCTTTCCTACATGCTCAATGTAATCTCTGACATCTTTTTCTTCTACTCTGTGATTATTTTTCTCAAGAAACTGTGCAGTTTGGAGGGATCAGACTGGCTTCCTAACAGTGACACCATAATGCAACCCCCTAGAAAATAAGTCCCTCACCTCTGACGTTTTCTAAGAGCAGGAACCAATTGGTTTCTCCATGTGCAAACATCTTTGGTTATAGGGATCAAAATGGCGGTGAGTGGTCACCCTGGTGATAACTTTCTCCATGCTGTAAGTCCACTGCCTATACCAAAGTACAGTTTCACAAAAGTAAGTACATCCCTGGAATGAACAAACTTAAAGGATTCTAAACAGCTGAAAAAGGGTTTTAAAAATTATTGGACCATGGACACATTTATTCTCTTTCAAGACCTCTAAAGGAGAGCTACTGTCTGTTCCCTAAGGATCCTTTCCAATAAAAATCATTTCCCTTTTAATAAATTCTTCCTCTGCTTCACCTAAGAACCTCATACTACATTTAAATCCATTTCCTCTCATCCTGCCCTCAATAGATATAAATCACTAATTAATATCCTCTGCATTGTGGACTCAAAGGCCAGCTTTACAATAACCCTGTGCATTCTCTTCCTCAGGCAAGATTTACTTTAATCTTGCCTCCTAGGTTTTGCTTTCCAGCCCTTTAACAAGCAGATGACTGAGTACGGTGGGAAGATTGCTTCCTTTTTGCTACCACCTGTACCTTTTCACGTATTGCACTATTGTAATGCCTTTTGTTTGAACTGCACTTTATAGCTTTTCAAAGTGTTTCTTTTGGCCTTATATCATTATTGGATACTGCTTGCTTTGGAACAACCGGTCTACATGACTAACTCATACTTACTTATGGTTATCCACAGGGCTTCCTGAGCCCTTTCTCAATTATTAGGAGTTCAGTAATTCGTCATTGTATGTTTGCTTGTTTGCCTTTGTCTCCCAGAGTAGTTTTCTAGCCCAGGTCCCTGTTGGGCTGGTCCAGTGCGTTACTGATCACTTTCCTCACTTACTTCTGCTTCAATGAAAGACCCTCACGGTTTGAGTGCCAACAATAGCATATAGTGGCTTTGTACTTACTGTTATGTAAATTCTGTTTCGTTCTTTTTGTTCCCCTCTCTCTCTACTCTGCTGAAATGCTTATTTGTGGTGGATTATGCCTTAGATTATAATGAATACTTCAGAGATCTGAATATAAGTCTTGCATGGAAATCCCTAGCTCTCTTTTCGCAAAAGCTTAACAGTGACTTTTCAATTTAACAACTTTATATAGTAGTGATGCCTGCCATTTATTATCTTCTATATGTCAGAAATATGCTGGACACTTTGTGTGCATAATCTCAAATAACTCTCACCAGTAGTACCCTGCAAAGTAGGTATTAGGATGATGGAAGCAAGTCATAACTATCTCTGTTTTGTGCTAAAGAAATAAGGAAACTAAAAGCAGAAATATCACATGATACTGATTTTTCTCCTTAGTCATTGACTATGCCCACCCTTCCATAATAATAGCCAGTGTTCTGTCAAACTATTTTGTATCAGTGCTTGAAGTCTAATAGGTACCAATTACAGTGGCCTGCAGCTCACAACAATTCCTCCTTATGGGGAAATGGTTTCAACACATAGGCATGACCCTCAATGTCGATGACCCGACCAGCACTGACTGATCTAGAAGAAGACACCTTACCCGAGGTAGACCATTCAGTCTCTCTGTCCTGGGAATTAGAAACTCAAACTCAAAGTCACTGAGACCGAGTGTTGTTGGACTTCAGCCACTATAACAGCACTGCTCCAGAGAGATGGTCCACAGCCTTCGTGGGCTGAGGTCTCCGCAGCTACCCTTGTTCCTGCCTTCCAGTTGTTTCATTGCCAGCTCTTCTTGTGATTCTGTGAGCTACTCCAGTATTCTACCAATAAATCCCTTGTTTTTGCTTATGGTAGCCTGACTCAGTTTCTGTTGCTTGCCACCAAAATATTCCTGACACATTTCTTGCTACCCAAAAAGGGTCAATAAAAGTTCATGTTTACCACTGCTATTTCTCCATTCACCCGAGAGATTATAACTTTACCAATAGGAGACATTCTAGCTCCACCAGGGCTAAACACACTGTTCCTTCAGCATTTCTGGTTTTTAGGGATCTGGGGAGCCAAATTCAGCATAGGACTCAAAACTAAAACAGCAAAGAAACTTTTGTCAGGTATTTGAATGGGTCTCTTTAGAATTTATACAAATATAGAAGGTATATATATGTATATGTACATTATAAATATTTTATATATGTATATATACATTACAAATATTTTATATATAATGTATATATGTGTATATATTATATGTGTATACATATATTTCAATGAACAATAACCAATTATGAGATGACATTGTTATTACTGCATCACATTTTCTGTGCCTCATATTTTGTTAAAAGACTGATGTCTTTAAATCCTTTATTGTTTGAGCATATATGCGTGATCAATGAACAAGGTGAAGAAAAATATCGAGTCTAAAGAAGTAAATTCCCACCATCAAATTTCCAGATAACATCATACTTAGGACTGCACTCGGGGAGCCAGCATATAAAGTTTATCACCCCAGGCATCTTTGCATATTAAAAAAAAATGTTTTAATGAGAGAGCTTTCTTTTCTGAGATTATCATATAAAGAGTACCAACTTTTCTTAAGGAAAAGAAAGCAAGGCTTTTGTTTGATTTGTTCGAAATCAAACACTCTACCTTGTGACTCATGAGTTCTATCTACCTTCACACTCCTAGCTACACCTACTTTTGTTTTGAAACAGTCATTATGCTTTATTACTATTGCCAGGAATACCCCCGCCTAGTAACCTAAATATTTTTCACTTAACCTTTTTTAAAAAAAAAAAAAAACAACTCTATTTTGGTGTTATTTTATAATCTTAACAATGTGGGAATCTCTTAATACCTGTGCCCACGTACTGAGAATACAACTAGATTCCCATAATAAAAATGAGGAGAAAGCACAGTTTGATATAAATTTCTGTTTGTACATTTCTGACAGGCCATTATGATATGCTTTTGACAAAACCTTTGTGAAACATAGCGTACGATGAATCCTAATGATGTTATGAAGTGAATCTGTGTTCAGTGCTTGTGATTTGTGCTTCCGGTCTATGATGACAATATGTCATGTGTGCATGGATGTACTCAACTGTGCTTAATACTCTGAATTTTAATTAGAAAAAATACAATGGCAGAAAGGCCCTGCTTTCTAAGCTACGTTCTTTTATTCATGTAAGACATGAGCAAATGGCAGAATTTAAAAAGTATTTTTTAATGGTGTAGGAAAAAAAGTATTTTCAGTGCTCAAAATTAAGCAAGTATACATTTTTCCTCTTGTTTGCATCAAAGAACAAGACACTGTTATTATGTCCTGTCCTGAACATGAACATAGAGGTTTGATTATTTTTTTTTAATGTCCTTTTAAGATGCGCACACAACCCAAGGCACCAGAGAAAACAAGCACACTTTAGAAAGCTTGTTCTGAATAACACTCTTTTCCTTATCCATTTTTACTGCTTTCTCAGATGATTTCTAATATATGGGGATTTTTAACTGAAAATAAACTTCAGCGTGCCGACCGAGCTATTTCTCCTTACTTCCTAAATGGAGCAAATGCAAAATAAATAATTGGTCTGAATCATATTTTTATTAGGCTTTAGCTTTTTTTTAACTAATAAAGAATGAGAAAACTTGTTTTTTCATAACTGCTTACTGTTTTTCTTCTGTCTTCGTATTTTTTATATACTTTCAGCCATTAGAAAGTGTGTCAGCCAGTAGCTTAAATATACTACTGCATGTACATACCCTGTGGCTTTATTTTTGTTAACCTGGATAAAATCCAATATATGCACTAGCATAAGGAGATTAAGCCAGACATGATCAGCTGCTTTTTTTTTTCTCTCCTTAAACTTGCTTATAAGAACAAGAAATTTTAGCTGTAAAAGAAGATTTTCCTGCATATCTTTGTTCCAGTCAGAGAAGAAAACAAACCACACCCAAATAGCCCAAAGGGGAAATCAACAAAGGGAATTCCTTCTAGTACCATTCCACAGAAAAGTTTGTATCCAAGTTGTAGATTTATAATACTGTGTAATTGACCGATGTCTCGAAACAGAATTAATCTTCTAAACATAACTTTCCATTATACCATCTTTATTTCAGAGGACCTAGAAAAATTTAGACACATATTTGATTTTAATGTAAGTTTATGTATTAACTATGCTTTATTTTATAAATGTATTTCTTCAAACTGTTGAATTTCAGTAAATATCATTTTAAAAAGATTGGATGTTTATTCAAATTAAAAAGGAAATTGATCCGCTTCACATGATTTTGAGAAGGACTTGTAGTAGTTAATGCTGAAAAAGAAAAATGTATTAATACACAAGAAGTTTAATCATTCCTGTTATTTTTTCCTATCAGACTATATTTTGAGAGTGATATCCAAGAATCTCATCTTGGGAAAAATAGTATTTCCTTTTCTCTTGCAAAACTTTAGTCTATGTAATACCACTAAGTTTATTCATCCTAAAACAAAATGTGAAGCCTTAGTTCCTGATCAGCAACCAAATACATTTATTAATTTAGTGTTCCAAAGCTGATTAGTAAAAAAAAAAAAA